GGGGCGGGGCCTGGGGCCTGGTGGGAGGGGCCGTGGCGGGCCGCTCCGGGCAGGCGGGGGTAGGGCAGAGCTTGCTCGTGGAAGGCGGAGAAGCCTTGCGCTGGGTGCAGCCGGTCCACCCGACGCCTGGCCCCCACGCCCACCCCAGGCCTCGCCTGTAACGGGTCCTTCGATATGTACGTCTGCTGGGACTACGCTGCACCCAACGTCACCGCCCGTGCGTCCTGCCCCTGGTACCTGCCCTGGCACAGCCACGGTGAGGTGCCCCCTGGATCCCGCACCGCCCGACAAAAATAGATCCTAACCCTGCCCCAGACACCACTCACCCAAATCTCGCCTACGCTTGATCTCCTGCTCCTTTCTGTCCGGCTGGGTGTCTCCTTCTGCCTGACCAAGCTCTGTCTCTGTATCTCTCTGAGAGCCCCTGGGTTCTTATTTTCTCTCCTTTTCCTTTTCCTTTTCCTGAGTCTGTCTTTGGGCGTCTTGATCTTCCTCTCCTAACCAGCTATGTGGCCTAGAGCAATTTATTTAACCTCTTTATGCCTCAACTTCCTCATCTGTAAAATGGGGTTGATAACAGTACTCTTGTCTTTGTTTCTCTCTCTCTTTCTCTGTGCCTCTGACCCCCTCCCTTGTTTTTTACAGTGGCTACAGGCTTTGTCCTTCGCCATTGTGGCAGTGATGGCCAATGGGGACCTTGGAGGGACCATTCTCAGTGTGAGGACCCAGAGAAGAATGGAGCCTTTCAGGTAAAGAGCGGTGAGGGATTCAGGTTAGGATGTGCAGGGAGATGAAAAGACAGCTGTCTCGGGTAGAGCCTGAAACCCCTTGTACTGTTGAAGATAGAAACCCAACTTAAACTTGCGCGATGGAGAAAGAAAGAGAAATGTATATTGGCTTCTGTGATTGAAGAGCATTAGGCCACAGTTTCAGGAACAGCTGGATCTAGGCACTCAAATGCTGTTGTTGGAAATCTCTCTGTCTCTCACTACACCATGACTTTGTTTTTCTCTGTGCTGGTCTCATCTTTTCCGTGGGGTGAAAAGTGTGGTCCCCATTAACGAACACCAGGTTCACATCCCACCAACCAAGCAAGACGGTGGGGAGACTGGATTTTGCTCTCCATAGCTCTAACGAAATGTCCCAGGACTGACACTTATTGGCCTGTTTTGGGTCGCGTCCGTCCGGCACACTGTGTAAGGGTGTGTCTGTGTGTGCAGGGGGTTACATAGAATGCTCTGATTGGCTGGCTGGTCACGTGCTCAGCCCTGGACTGAGGGGCGGAGTCAGCCCCACTCAAAGGAGGGTAGATGGATCCCCAAGGGAAAATTGGGAAGCTGGGCGGGAACAAAAAGCAGGGCCCCTTTCTGGCCCCGGGGGAAGCACTGAACTCTGTTCCTGTGTCCCCCTGTCCTCCTGCACCCCACCCCCACCCCGGCTTAGGATCAACGGCTGATTTTGGAGCGGCTGCAGGTCATGTACACCGTAGGCTACTCCGTGTCCCTGGCCACACTGCTGCTGGCCCTGCTCATCTTGAGTTTCTTCAGGTGGGACCTCCAGCCCTGAGCGGCAGCGGCAGACGCTGGGCCTCAGTTTGCCCAGTAAGATGGGGTGGTCAGGCTCCACGACCAAGAGGCATCCAACAAGCGGTTCTGTGGGAAGGGCTGGGAGGTGACTTAAGGGGTTCTCTGGGGCCACGGACAGGTCTCCAGGGGTCCCCAGCCTGCCTCCCATCTCCCCTAGGCGGCTGCGCTGCACTCGAAACTACATCCACATCAACCTGTTCACGTCTTTCATGCTGCGGGCGGCGGCCATCCTCACTCGAGACCGTTTGCTACCTCCTCCTGGCCCCTACCCTGGGGACCAAGCCCCTGTCCTGTGGAAACCGGTGAGCGTCGTCCCGCTCTTTTCAAATTGGGGTTCTGCCTCCTCTGGTGGGGCCGAGAGGTTGCCAATCTACTCACCACCTCCTACCCTGTCAACAGTTTCTCTCTCTTGACCTCTCCAAACATATTTGGAGAGGGGCCCTCCCTCCTCAGCGTCCTCCATCGTTGACCCCCTCACCTCCTGTATGGGACTTTTCCATGCCCTTTCTCTCATTATCTCACCCCTCCCGGGACTTGTCCACCAAGGAGAGAGTCCCCTTGCTGGAGGCGGGGCGTGGCAGGATGGGAGAAACTAACTGGGCGCGCGGGGGGGCGGAGGAGGGGGATTCGGTAACACACCAATTTGTTACTGAGAGACAAAGGTGGGAGAGGCTAAGGGTCTGGGGGCCCGGATGAGAAAAACTTTGCGGTCGCGAGATGGGCCATACCACTTGTTAAGAAGCCGTGGGGTGGGCGAGCCCATGTGCTGGTGGGACCAGGGGAATGGGATGGGAGAAACCTTTGGATAGGGCAAGTAGTTGAGTTCAATTTTTAGGAGGTGGGGTGCGAGAGGCCATATTTGGGGGAGGGGAGGATTGGGGAGGGACTCTGATAAGCAAGATGGGTGATACCAATTGTTAAAGAGGTTAAGCGTGGCATAGCTCGCACAGGGGAAGAGAACAGATGAGGGAAATCGACCACGGGCTCCATCCGCTGGCGGTGCAGAGAGGGAGGTGAATGCTTGATGGCGGGAGATGGAGGAGGAAGGCTTGGGGCCCCCCTGGAGGCCTTGACTGCCCCGTCCCCCGGTCTGGCCACTCCCTAGGCCCTAGCTGCCTGCCGTACGGCCCAGATCGTGACCCAGTACTGCGTGGGAGCCAACTACACGTGGCTGCTGGTGGAGGGGGTCTACCTACACAGTCTCCTGGTGCTTGTGGGAGGTTCCGAGGGGGGCCACTTCCGCTGCTACGTGTTCCTCGGCTGGGGTGAGCCCCGACCCTGTCCCCTGCCCAGCCCAGCGCGTCTCCACTCTCCCGATTACCCCGCTGGTCTACCTCAGGGGGTCTCCTCCCCTCTCTGGGTTTTTGCCTCCCCACCCCGGCGGGGGAAATTCCGCGGGTCTTGGGCCTGGCGGGGCCCGTGCGCGCGCTGACGGCTGCGGCGGGGTGGGGGGCGGGGGTCGGGGTCTGCACAGGGGCCCCCGCGCTTTTCGTCATTCCCTGGGTGATCGTCAGGTACCTGTACGAGAACACGCAGTGAGTCTTGGGGTCTGGGGTGGGGCCTGGGAGGTGGGCGGAGCTTTGAGGGACGCGGGCGGGTTGTGATGGAAACGCGGGGAGGTTCGGATGGCACGTCGGGGCTCGGAGGGAAAGGGGCTTGGTGGGATATAAAGGAAGGGGGAGCTAGGAAAGGTTGTGTGCTGGAACGGGGGCGGGGGGCGGAATGAGGGCGGGGCCTGGCTCGTGGGGGGCGGGGCTTTAAAGGAACGTGGGTGTGGCGTTAAGGAAAGTGGGCGGAGCTGGCGAAAGGGTGTGCGTGATCCCGAGGGTCCTGGGGTTTTCTCTTAGCTCTACTCCCTCTCCCACCAGGTGCTGGGAGCGGAACGAAGTCAAGGCCATTTGGTGGATCATACGCACCCCTATCCTCGTGACTATCTCGGTAAGGCCGACCCTGCCTCCTCCGGGCCATCCTTTGGAATTCCCCACCCTGGGAAACTGGGCGCCTCCTGTCCCCCGGGACAGGATGCGGCTGGCTCAGCCTCTGTCTCTCCCTGCAGATTAATTTTCTCATCTTTATTCGCATCCTTGGCATCCTCGTGTCCAAACTGAGGACGCGACAGATGCGTTGCCCGGACTACCGGCTGAGGTGAGGCAGGGTGGCCGGGACGGAGGGAAAGGGGCGGGGCGCGAGAGGGAGAAGGACCTGGGGCTGCGGGACCACTGCCACCCTCCGCCCCCAGGCTGGCTCGCTCCACGCTGACGCTGGTGCCCCTGCTGGGCGTCCACGAGGTGGTGTTTGCTCCCGTGACAGAGGAACAGGCCCGGGGTGCCCTGCGCTTCGCCAAGCTCGGCTTTGAGATCTTCCTCAGCTCGTTCCAGGTGCTAAGGCGGGGTGCAGGGGGTACACCCTTCGGCCTGGGCCCTCCTCCCCAGAAGGGGCGGTGGTGGGGGGGCGCTACAATCGTCCACCGATGCAGCCACTGAATGCAGTGTGGACACATGAACACGTTCCTCCATTCTGTGCAAGGTACTGAGCTAGCTCTGTCCTGAGCTGGGGAGGCAGACGGGATGGGGACAGTAGACCAGGTGGCTCAGCAGTACTGCCTCCTGGGGAAGATGGAGGGCTTTGCAGCCGCACAGGGCCTCCCAGGGCTTCCCACCTCCGTGGCCTTCATCTAGAGTCTGAGTAGAGTCTGAGTAGAGTCTGAGCTAGGGTGGGGGTTAGATGAGGTGCCTGGGGCTCAAAATGTAAGGAGGCACTCACTCCAGAATTTAGGGCCAACCCTGCCTGCACTTGTTCTGCCCCAGTAGCCGCCTGCTTTTCCTTGTTGGGCCTCAGTTTTCTCATCTCTAAGTGGGAACAACACGAATCTCACCTCACAAGGCCGTTCCTTCATTCAATTCAGCAAAAACCTATTGAACGCTTACCCGGTCCCAAGCCATCTTCCAGGCTTACTATGGGGATACGGCCAGGAACCAAACGGTTCCTACCCTCTAGTGGGAGAGACAGATGCTCAACATGCCATAGGAGAAAAATCTACCGAATGTCGGATGGGGAGACGTGCCCTGAAGGAAATAGAGGGGCAGACAATATATGGGGTTATAGACGGGGCCAGGGAAGGCCTCGCTGAGAAGACATACGTTGGAGGTGAGGGAACGAGCCAGGCAGATATTTGGGGAAGACGTTCCAGGAAGAGAAACATGAAG